CTGTGGACATTGGAAAGGAGAAAATGGACAGGAGAAGATTGGGGAGATAGAATAAATGGGGCTTGGCTCTTGATTGCTTATGCCCTTTTCACGCCCTCTGTTTGACCCTCGTTCCTTCCCCCTTCTGATCATAAAGGTGGATAAGGTATCCCTTAACACACTGACTTATATTTCCTTGAAATTTTCTCATCAGTATTAGGTAAGGTTTTATTTGAAATATCTATGAAAGATACCCCAAAGGACAATTCTTGATGTTCAAAAATGAAGAAGCAATATTCTACATCTACACTTGTACTGAATTTTCCCTGTATTCAGGACTTATAGGTAAAGTTCCCCCCTTTTATCTTTGAGCCTTACCTCCAGAAAATGTAAACATACATTAGTATATTTCTTATTGAAGCTCCTGATTGCTCATGTAAAATGGAAGTCAGGATCATAAAGTTATTAAAAACAATTGTAAATTCCCCTCTTTGTTCCAATATTCAGTTTTAAGAGCATCCATGCTCTCTAAGAGCCTTAGAATATTAATTTTATAAAGTTTTAAAAAAATTTTAACAGAATTATGTAACTAAATTATGAGAAATTAAGAAAAGCATCTATCAAAATAATTGTGTTCATAATTCAATTGTTAAACGAACTTCAGATAGTGTATTAGTCACTTCACTTTTTAAAGGCCAGAGGGTAGAAAATATTTTGTGTATTTACATTATTTTTCACCATTTGTGGATAAAGCAAGCTGAAGTAGCCAGTACTGGGCAACAGGGCTGGGGCTCTCCGGCATGGCAAGTCTCCTTTGGAAGGCCAGTTGTCACTGGAGATACATAGCATTAGAAGACCTTTGTGGCTATTTTTTTTGACATGGGAAATTTTGTATTTGCATGCCTGGACTTTTCTGCAGAAACACATCAGATAACATGGACCACGGACAGCAGGCTTGCCCTGAGTGAGCAGTAGTTAGTGCGTAGTAGCGCGCTGAGCAGTAGCGCGCTGAGCATAGCAGCTCTGGTTGCAATGCCACTGGGATGCTTGCTGGCGTAAAATGGGGTGTGTCTAGGAACTAGGACATGGGGGTCTGTTTTCAGCTCAAATGTCAAGCAGAAAATGATCTTCCAGATAAAATGGACAAAATATCACACCTCCTCCCCAGCCTCTCAATCAGCACAGTTTTACAGCAAATCTTGGGCTGAGCAGACAGAACTCTGCAAATAAAGAATAGCACATGCTCTGATTAATAGAATAGCCAACTTTTATGAGGTGCTACTGTTACTAAACACTCTCGTTAAACACTCACCCTGCATTAGTTTATTTGACTGTTAAAACACCTTTCTTATCATACCCACTTAAAATATGAAAAAACTGGTAGTGGTTAAGTAGCCTCACCAAGATCAACAGTACTAAACCATCATCCAGTCCTAACCAGATTTATCAGACCAAGGTCAAAGACAAGGCTTTAAATCTTGTCCCTGCACTACCACTTACTTAGTTAAAGCCAGCAGCCTCTTTCTGTGGGGGGCATTGATGCCAAGCACAGCCTGTAGTAAACATGTACTTCTAGTGAGCTCTGAACATTTCGGTGAGCATTTGGAGATCATAAGCCTTCCCAGGGAATTTATCTGGAGAATATTTACTTCCAGAGGATGCACCAGTGGGGGTATTTTTATTTAATATGCCTAGGGGAAAGAATTTTTAAAACACAAGAGAGAATGTTGTGCTGTTTCTTTAGAGTCTCATGAACATGGAGGAAGAAATGCATTCATATTACCTCTCCAGACCACAAAGGCTTCTAGGGGGCTTATTGTCACTGGGGACCATTGGGTGTATTATTTCCCTTCACTCTTGTGTCCAACTGAAAAAAGGACACTGAAATAAAACTATAGGAATGAAAAAGCTACACTGAGACATAGATCTCCTTGGGCAAGATCAAGTAGGATAAAAACTGAAAAAATAAGCAAAAATGAGACATACAAGAAGAACCTGGCCAGACTCAAGTTGGGAATCTTCCTCTAGCCACAGTGGATAAAGGGGTCAGGCTGTCCCAGGTCTTTGGGGAGGAGCAAAGGACATGATACAAGGATAGCATTGCATGTGGTTCTGTCCCCCTTGGCTTGGGAGCTCACGTGCACTCTCTCTCTCTCTTTTTCTCTGTCTCTCTCCCTCCCTCCCTTCATCTCTTTCTCAGCTTTGTTGTTGTTGTAATTATTGTCTTACCTTTTAAGAATTTGCTGGACCATTTATATTCCTATAAAGTAGCCTAAGTACCTTAGTGGATTAGGCTAGTTATAAATACATAGATATAAGCAACATACTTTTAATAGAAATATTTATACTAATATTATATTATTAATATTCATGTATAATATTCATAAATATATAAATTTTAAAAATATATATTCACTCAGAAGTTAATATATGCTATAGTATCTGTATATTTCATTCCAGAGTTTGGATTTAGTAGCTCCCACAAGTCATTTTTTATTTTCACAAAGTCCTGAGATAAGAAATCCTTCCAGATATTCTTGAATGTGGATTCCTGGGCTAGAGGGGGTGGTATATGCCTGATCAATAGAGCCGAGAATTTAGTGTCTGGTGAGGTAGGGGTTGAGCGAAGGTGGGAGGGACAAATCCAAGATGGCAACACCCGCATTCTGACTGGGAATGCCACTTTTAACACTGGTACAAAATAATGCACACAGAACATATAAGTTCACACATATAGTCAACTTCTGAAAGGGTGGGATTGTCACAAGGCTCAGAGTTGTGCTGGACATTTGAGAGTGTCAGTAATAATTGTTGTGTCTAAAGAAAAGGTATCTGAGTTGCACAAACAAGAGGGTGTTCACTGTGAAGCCAAAAGAGCAATTCAGCGGTGAGTAGACTGTGACTACACTAGCACTTTCCAGGTGGAAGGATCTGTGGCTCTTGGGTGGGTGGGTGGGGGTGGGGAGAGAAAGGATTAGGAAGTGGTGCCAGTGAGAAGGCTGACTTTCATGGTAAATGACCACTCATGCTTCAACCCAGGTGTTTTAACCCCTTCGAAACAGGAGGAAGAGCCACTGCAAGTGAGGAGTGAGAATAGGGAGAGGTAAGAGACATGCTGTGTCCCGTGTATGTGGGTGTGAACCACACCATGGCAACATGAAGTCGGGTTTGGGTGGGGCTAGTGGACGGTGCGTCCTCCTTTCACTGTTACTAAGAATGACACAGTGGATGAGGCAACTCTGTGGAGATCAAGTTTGGTGACGGTGAAGGAGTCATGATTCAGTATTTGCTGTTCCAAATCCCTGTCCTTTGCTCTTTCTCCCAATCCATGGTGATTTCACAGTAATCAATATACTACTACCAGTGATAATGTAGTATAACGTTATTGCTATCATTTTATTGATTAAGTATTAAAATCTTCTCAAGCCTCATCTCATTTAATTCTCACAACTGAGGTGGGTGACAGAGTTGAGATCTGAAAACAGGTCTTAACACTCGGCCAGTTATCCCCATCGGTTGCTTGCATGTTTACAGTTCACCTGTGTATCAATTCATCCTGTAGATATTGTTTGTATTCCTTATTATAAAGATGTTACATGAAATAAAACAGAACTAGCTCAGAGAAAGAGCAAAAAAACAAAACAAAACAAAAAACCTTCCTTCATTCTTTAATTCTCTCCCTCCCTCCACCCAAAACCAGTTAATAAAAGCAACAACTAAGAACAATCTGACAGTGGGTGGGGAGATGGGAGGGGATAATGGAGGGAAGGGTTTTCAGGAACAACTATGAAGGACACAGGGACAAAACCAAGCAGGGGTGGAAGCAGGGGAGGGAGGTGGGAATGGCTGGGGTGGGGTGGGTGTGATGGAGGGTAAATGTAGACAACTGTACTTGAACAAAAAAAAAAATTAAAAAATTAAATACAATAAAAATGGTAAAAAAAGAAAAGAAAATTATGACAAATACTTTTTATTTACCACATCACTATTTTAAAAAATAAAATAAAATAAAATAAAATAAAATAAAATAAAATAAAACCACTCAGTAAATACTTCCTCTGTGCTCAACACCCTATTAGGCACTGGGAATAAGATTGCAAAATCGATACAAATCTCTGTGTTTCTGGAATTCACAGTCTACATGGGAGGAAAAAAAAGCAAAGTATGTAGATAAGTAACTATAATTTTATGTCTTATAAACTTCAAGTCCGAGTACTGCAAGTACCGTTGACTCCCCTACTGGTCCTCTCCCCTGGTTTCCTCTTTCCACCAGCACCTCCCTGGGTGCACAGAATGTTTTGAGGATTGAGTATGTCTTACATCATAGTGATCTATAAAGTATTATCTCAACATTGACATTTTATCTGCCCTAATTAGAAGCATTTCATAGACACAAAATCTTCTATAATAGTTACAAGAGCAGGGAAAAAATAGGTCTTGGGTCAAAACAAGCTGGGATTCAGGGGAGATAAGATCTATTCTTTTAGAACTGAGCAGGTCTGAGAGGAGATGTGGTGCGGGCCTGGGAAACAGGTCTGAGTGCTGAGGGGGATGTTGCGGGGGAGGGAGAAGGTGGGTAATGACAGAAGCAGCTTCCCCTGTCTGGGCCATATACCTTCCTAGGGAGGCATTCTTGCATGGCAAGAAAAGTTGTGCATTTCCAGAATAGCTATATATATTCAAAATAAGTTCCTAATGCACTTAAAATGCTGAGAAATTATTTCTGAATCATCACTTTTAATAAACCAATATTTAAAAATCTGTATTTAACCATACAACATGTATGGATGGGCTTCAATGAATCTATGAATTCCCTGAAATTATACATAAAACTGTGTGCACATGTGCTCTTCTAGAGAGGGTCTCTAGCTTCCACAAAATTCGAATTCATGACTCTAAAGTGATTAAGGCCCAATGAATAGAAAATTAAACACTGAGAAAGGAAGCCCCATAACCAGAATTTTTCTGTCATAAAGCCAGGGCTTGTCACCCCACAGTCCTGACTCAAACACCGCACTCACGTCGAGAGCCACCGACTGCTTGGCCCAGGACTTCTTCACCTGGTCGTACATGATCGTGTTGTTGATGCCCAGGCCACAGAAGATGACAAACGCCTAAGAAAGAGAAAGCCCACGGATTAAAAATCGCAATAGCTCATTGAATAATCTCATATAGAAGCAGGCAGTCACCAGCGATGGGCCCGAAAACACCACTTTACTGGACACAAAGGTAGGCTTTGGGAAAACATGCACATTACAGTACTTAATGACTGTGGTCACGTACAGCTTTATTGCTCACATTGCGCCTCAGAAAAAACAATTATTTACTGTCACTGTGGAGAAACGACTTCATGCATTTAAAAACATGCTTACAGACTGTTTAAATGTGTTCTTTTTTTAGGTTGTGGGCTGATTTTAGTAATTCCCTTCCATTTAACCAAAAGCAACCTCTTTCAGTAGCGAGCCTATAAAATATTTGGGTAAAGCAACTGAATAGACCCACAGTTAGATGTGAAGTGGAAGGAGGATTGGTTTAGAATGAGTTAGTGAAGAACTGTGAGGTATTCTCGGCTGAAGAAAACTAACCAAGGGGTTTTCACCGTGTTGGTGACTCGTTGGTCACTAGTGTAAAGTCCACAAGGAAGCCTGTTCAAGGCCCACCTCTCCGGCCCAAGGGGGCAGCCTGGAGTAAAAGGGGGCTTGTCAACACCAGACAGGTGACGACAAAACACCTGGCAGGGCTGGCCAGAGGTCTCACCACTCTGGCCACACCCAAACAAAGACAAGATAAGACAACACTTTGGGGAAGAGTGGGTAATTCAGTTCTGTAACAAAATTACGCTAAAAATAATCAATGGTCACAAAAGACTCTAAATAGTGAAAAAATCAAATCAAATCTCACCTAAGCATCAATATATTCTTTAACATTTCCTTTGAATTCTGTCACACTGTTTAAGTATAACGATAATTAACAATTATTTATCCTTACAACTTTGGGCAAGCTGCAACCAGGAGACTACTGGTGTCTCAACTATACCACTTGCTTAATTTTCTCACCTCAAAAAGTCGTTGATCTGCATCATCGAAAGGTTTTCCATCAAGTCTATTTAACACCTGAGCCACTCCTGTGGGAACAGTTTGGGATATGTGGTCATTTTCAGCACTGGACACTGTGTTACTACAATGCACAATTGTAAGCCCCAGCGGGCTCTAGGCCTCCTTTAAGTTATCTGCGACACCAGGTTAATCCCTGGTCTCTCTAGTACCTGTGTTCTCCACACAGCAGTTCGGAGGTGTCCTGAAGTGCAGGCTCCTTCCGGACTGTGATACTAGCTCTCAGCAAAGCCTGGAGTTCTACCAGGCATCCACCTGACTTCCTGAAAATGGTTTTCGAGATGACTGTGCACAATAACTCTGACAAATCTGCCATATATACACAGACATATACATACAGGGTGGGGCAAAAGTAGGTTTACAGTTGTTTGTATGGAAAATAATGCAATAATTATAAATTCTGTGTTTCACATACTCACTACGGTAAACCTACTTCTCACCCATCCCATATATATAACTGAATATATGTAAGTGTGTATATATACATATATAGCCACACACACACAATTTTTTATTTTCTCGGTTCCCAGGAGCACAGGTTTGAGTGAGGCTGGACCACGTGGCGGTTAAGCACACTGGCTCTGGAGTTACATGGTCTTGTTTCAAATTCCAACCCCACCCTGAGCTAGTTACCTAAATTGTTTAGCACCAAATTTCCTCATTTGTAAAATGGAGTTTAAAATATTAGCTATCCCAGGGCATTATAAAGATTAAATGAGATAATGTTTGAATGTCTGTAAAGCACATTATTCCACATGGAGTGAACATTCAAGAAATATTAGGAATGATGATACAGTTAACTCTCAAAGCAAGGTTAGGGCTGTGCTCTGCTACCAGTGGGGTGCACAGAATCCTAACAAACTCAATTCATGTGTCCTTCCTCTTTCCAAAGTTCATTTCCAGCATAGACCAGATGTTCTGGGGCATGACTATCAAAACCTACAAGTTTAACCAAAAAAACTCATCAATCCTATAAACTACGTCCCTGTATCCCCATTTAGAACAAACAAAACATAGCTGTAATTCTCTAGCATGCTTTTATTTTTCAAGACACGTAATTTCCCAACAAAGATATAAGGCATGATATGCTAAAAGATATATAATTAAATGCAAATTTTTTAATATGTAATAGGCAAGCCACAGTCTTAATTTTGAAAAAATAACAGATGTTTACTTTCAACTTAAATACATTTTAAACTCTATACATGATGTAATTCAATGCTTTGTATCAGGGGCTCCAATTCCCAAATCTTAGAATTCTTTTATGTCCAATAATGTACTAATTTTTCCTGTAAATTAAGCAAACTGATGAAAAAATTTCTCCTAGAAGTCAAGTCTGGACAACACTTACAGCGCAGTGAATTGGTAAGTAGCGGTGTCTCAGAGTCAAAGTGGCAAAGTTGGGGTAAACAAAGAGGCAGATGGAAGCACTGGTTACCAAATGCATTAGTTACCATATGTTTCTTAGGAAAAGCTCACTTTTCTCTGCACTTCAGCAATTTAAACTAATGCTTCCATCCTTCACAGCTTCTTTACCTCGCCCACTGCCCTCTTCTTGCCTAGACTGCTTTCTTAGTTTCAATGTTTTTCCCGAGTTTTTGAGGGGAGGGAAAGGAACGAGAGAAATTGGAAGCTGCTTTGGCCCACAATTCCCTTATTCTGGGGAAAGTGTAGCTTATTTCAAAATCATCTAGGCAGAAGAATGTATGTTTAGTATATGTCGAATACTCATGTTCTTTCTTCCTTTGCATGTAATCCATGTGCAAATGCATAGATGTAAATATGCAGACGCAGTGGGAAAGTCTGTACAAGGAGGTAGGAGGCCTGAGTTTTCTGACCTTGCTACCAACTCACTCTGTGACTTTATTCCTCTTTGTGCTTCCCCACCCTCTCTGCCTCAGTTTCCAAAGGGTGAGATGAGAGAGTCCCATTGCTTTCTGAGATCCCTTCCAACTTCAAAGTTATTGGTTCGTATTTAAAGGAACAAGTATTTGTTTATTGATCTGATTTATAATATTGAGTCATCAGGACTCTGCACTTATGAGATTATATAAGAGTTTGAGACATAAGTTTATGAATCCAGAACATAAAAAGGGAGAACACATTTAAAAAAAAGAAATAGGGTGGGAGTGGGGGGGGGGGGGAATGCAGGCAACCATAATGGAACAACAATAAAATAATTTAAAATTAAAAAAAATAAGGAAAATGTTTGTACTTACCTATTTAAATAAAATAAGTATATATTTTTGAGAGAAAAAAAGAAATAGGTGTATTTAAAAGTAAATTTGTATTCTTTAAAAAAGATGTTTCAACATTTAGGTAATGTCTTACCAATTATTTGGTGGTTGCTATTCCAAATAGGTACGCAGAGAACTGATCTTATATGAAAACCAGATATCTGGTCAGCCTAGAGTATAAGAAAGTAGTTAATTGAAATTAAGTATTACATACTTACTACTCTCTTACTACTCTTCATAGCAAATAGTCTTAAATACTATTTTAAAAACACATTATAATTTAGTTTTTAATGTATATACTTACCCGTCTCTTTTAATTTAAAGTCTCATAATGAACATCCTAAGGAAATCAAGCCCTAAGCAAATATGAATCATCCAAGGCACCCCACTCCAACACCACCTCCTCCATCTCCGCAGCCATAGGGAGCTGGGTGTAAGACTTTCCCAGTCATGATCAAACCACCAGACAAGGATTCAGGCAACAGTTTAGTTTTTGCTCTGAGTATTTAAAGCATTTTAATTACACCAGGGTTAATATTTCTCTTTGATTGGGCACATCTGTTAATAAAAATGTTTGAGTCTACAATGCTGCCATACATATATGAGGTCTGTCCAGCTATGTACTGTGAAAAATAGAGACATTTATTGAAGAAGATACAAGATACAAGAAACACTGAACACAGGACAATGATGCCTCTGTCCCCTTCAAAGTAGATTCCTTGGGACCTCACACAGTTCCCCCAGTTGCCATCAGCTGCCCTGTCATATTTTCCTGAATCTCATTAATGGTCTGAAATCTCTTTCCTTTCAAAGGTGATTTTAGTTTTAGGAAGAGGCAGAAGTTGCAGGGTGCCAAATCTGGGCTGAAGTGGGGCTGAGTCACCTGGGTGATTTGATGTTTCATCACAAAAACTGCATGAGCTATATAGTACACAAGCAATTGTGTTGCCATGATGAAGCTGCCAACCACCAGGTGCCCATAGCCGAGGCTTTCTGAATCATCCAAATAGTTTCCATGGAGGAATATTCAAACTTAACACAAAATTTGATGCAGACTCATTGCTCTACTCACTTAGTCATTTTGAATACAATAGCCACACAGTACACATGCTCACTCAACAGCATCTACCACCCCCACTGACTAGTACAGTGAAGTGGTTATTGTTCACACATGTGCATTCCAGTCCACTCTCCTTGGTTGCCAGGTTACATCAGTGTCATGCAAACCATTCCTGTTACATTAACAATGGCTGGACTTTTTCAGGACACACCTTGTATTTACTTTAAACACTCTATATTTTAAATTACTAATTTACTGTGTATGTTGTAAAAATAGTATACAAAAAATTAAAGTTGCAAAAAATAAGATAAATATAGAAGTTCAAAGATCTCCTTTTTGTACACTAATAGATTATCAGGAGATGACATATTTAAAATATGAAGGCATAATTATCAGCATCAAATAAACAGCATTCCTTAACAAGCATCACAATATTAAAACCAATGGTCCCTATTTGAACTGTTAGGTAAGAGCTACTAATGGAAAAGGTCAACCTGACATCCCAATACTATACAAAAAAATAATATATCAATATCTTACATCATGATAATTGGGATAAAAAGATATTATTATATTTTAAAATATTTATCGTAGAAGTTAAAACTACATATTTAAATATTTTGAAATTGGAATTTACACACCTAAATTTTATATTTCAGTTGTTTTGGTTTTCTTCTGAGAAATTAATTTTCCAGTTGTCTTCTACTCTTGATACCAATATGTTAGTTTCTTTGTTTTTTAGTACTTTTTTGGCCCTGTTCAAATAATATTTCCCTGCCCCTTCCTAGCTCATAAAGAAATTCTCCTAATCTTTCCATAGAATCGTTATTGTTTCAACTTTCACATTTAGATTTACACTCTAACTGAAAATGACTTTGGGATAGAGTGTAAACCAGGAGTCAAGAGTCTTTGTTTTAAGTGGATATCCAATTGACCCAGCACCATTTGGAGTTGAGGTGCAGGTAGAGAAGACTTCTTTGTACCACTCTGCAGCACCACTTTTTCATTAATCAAGATTTCATATCTGTTTGGACCTAGTTCTAGACTGTCTATTCTACTTTGCTGATCTATGTGTCTGTTCTTATGCCAATACCACACCTTCTTAAATAATAAAGCCTTAGACTAGGCCTTGATACCTGGTTAGTATAAATCCCCCAACTTTGTCCTTCTTCTTTAAGAATGTCTGGTTATTTTTTTGTCCTAGGCATTTCCATATTAATTCTAGCATCAACTTAAAGTTTACACACACACTAAAATTATTACTAGGAATCTATTGAATCTATCAATCAATTTGGGAGAGAACTGACATCTTTACAACACTGGGTCTTCAAATCCATAAATATCCCCTTATTTGGAGTTCTTAAAATTTCTCTAAGCAAAATTTTATAGTTTTCTATGTAGAAGCCTTACACATAATTTGTTATAGTTATACTTTGTGTTTTAAAATTCATGTTATTGTAAATGTATTAGTAATTTATTTCTTTCTAAAAAAAGATTTTTAAATTTATTTTTAGAGAGAAGAAAGAGAGAAAAAGAGGGAGAGAAACATCAAAGTGAGAGGAAACATTGATGGGTTGCATCTCCTACATGCCCCAACCAGGGACCGAAATTGTAACCCAGGCACATGTCCTGACTGGGAATCCAACCCCAACTTTACTTTGCAGGATGATGTCCAACCAACTGAGCCACACCAGTCAGGGCAGTAATTTATTTTCTAATGCTTTCTATAGCTATATAAAAATATAATTGGTTTTGTCTATTGAACTTGCTTTCATAAATCTTGCTAAATTCAATTATTAACTTCAATGTGTCATCTGTAGTGTTTTGGATTTTCTAGGAACATCATGTTATCTTACTCTTAAATTCTATGCCTTTTAATCATATAATTTTAAAGCATGTGCATTTTTCAGCTTGTTAATGGGATTAACTACATTGATTGATTTTTAAAAATTCCAGATCCCAACAAAACCAAACCAAAAACACGCGCACAAATCATTGATCCAGGGCACTCCTCCAGCATTTGTTTATTTACCACCTCCTGCACACCAGACACATTGCTGGGTGCTAAGGACATAAAAATGAATTCAGATAGTTATTACTCGTGATGATCTATCTCACAGGCTAGTAAAAATACTAATAGTTAAGATAAAATGAGAGTCCAGGTAGAGAATGTTCAAAACATTATAGAAAACCCAGCAACTGACTGTGGTTAGGGAAATTAGGAACAGCTTTTGGCTCTTAAAAGTGGGTTTTCAAAGGCAAGGATGACGGTGATGATGGTAAGCTGACATTTACTGGATATTCCCTCTCCGTGTCTGGCACCCTGTTCAGGTATTTCCTACATTTATTATGAGGTTAACATCCTCCCTTATCAGAAAAGACTTAGAGAAATTAACTGCCTTGCAAGTGAAGAGACTGGCTCAAAGGAAGCCAGACAATAACAAACATCCATCAACTTTATCTTCCACAAGAACAACATGGTTTTCTTCCACTCCCTAAGGATAATGTCTACATTACAGCAATGCTGGTGAGCATAAAGAGAAGGAAGTCAATTTTAGAGAAGTCTGCAAGGTATCTCTACAGCCTTGGGCAAGCCAGAGCTGCACTAGAATGGCCGTGTCTGTTTTGTTTTACTCAAGGTCATACGAATTGTGGGTGGTTCTCAACAGCACCCAGCAGTGAGCACAACTGCTTCTGCCAACTCTGGGACAGCTGTAAGCTCTGTCTAACCTCCCCTAGGAAATCTGAAGCAGCTGAGGAAAGAGGTCACAGGTCAAAAAGCAAGGGAAGGTGCAGTGAGCACGAGAAACAAGGACAGAGACAGTTTGAGAGGCTGGTGGTGAGAAAAACAAAGCTTAGGCTATCAGTGAAGTGAAAGAGAATTTTTTTAACTGCAAATCATTGCAATTTCCCAAAAGAATTTTTCAGTCTGGGAAGGTGGGAGTTGTGTTCTCCCATCCCCACAAAGGGTAATTAATATAGGGGCTTCTGGTTTGAGTGAGGGTGGTAGAGTTCCTTGAGGAGGAGAATGCAGGAAGTTTGAGGGAAAATATACCAAGTTTAGACTGGCACACATGACAATTGAGAGGACAACTGGTGAGAAAGAAGAGCAAGAAACACTAATCTTGGAGTCATCAGCCTCTGGTGTTAATTGAGTAGGTAAAATCACCAAGGGAGAGCATGTCCGAGAAAAAGACACACACACAAAAGGATAAAAAATGGAACCTGAGAGGACACAATATTTAGAGCAGGAAGAAGAAGGTGGAGTTAGTGACAGGCATGGAAAAGAACGCAAAGCTCATACTCTAACCACAAGGCCTTATAGCATTTCTAATGTGTCAAAGCATTACTGCAACCTTTCTGGAAATAAACATATTGACATGTACCCAGAGTCTAAAAGAGTACACATACCCTTTGACTTACCAATGTTGTGTCTAGAAGTTTATCCTATGGCAATTATCATAGCTGCACACAAAAGGTTACTTATAAAGGTGTGAACCATAGCATTACTTATGATAATGACAGGTTAGAAATAACCTGACTATTCAACTGAAGGGAGTTGGCTACATAAATCCCAGCACATCCACACAATAGGATATTATACACCCCATTAAAATTATACTAAGGAAGAATATTTGTTAACATTGAAAATTTTAATATATTGAGTGACACTGTCGGTATCCGTGGGTATATAAACATATCATATACTTTGGGAAATCCTGGAAAAATTATAGCCACAACAGTTCCTTTTGAATTATTTGCCTGTGGGAGTTTTGTTTTTTACTTTTTAAATAGGCTTTATGTTTTAGAACAATTTTAGGTTCACAGCAAAGTGAGTACAAGTACAGAGATTCCTCACATCCCCGTACCCCACAAGGGCACCTCAACACCCTCACATCGCTCGCCGAGTACTGCATTTGTTACACGGATTCACCCCCATAGACGTGCCATTGTTACCCACCGTCCCTAGTGTACTTTAGGGTCCACTCTTGATGCTGCACATTCTGTGGGCTTTGACAACTGTTTAATAACATGTGTTCAACACCACAGAGTCATTCTGAGCCGTTTACTGCCCTAAAAATCCGCTGTGCTCCACCTATTCATCCCTTT